ACTTTAGACGGGTAATCCTCCGGTGGTCACTGTTTTGGAACCCCCATCCCCTATACTACTCTATTTTGATTGCTATTTTCACCCCTAAAGCAGCCATGAAACGAGTACGCGCAGAATGTTATCATGACTTTCTGGGTGTGGAACAGGCGTCAATAATGACCAGATTTTTATCGAACCCAAGTCTACTGTATGACCTCTTTCTGACTCATGACTTTACTATTACAGATAAGTTAGACATTCATTTTATTATGTCCATTAAATCCACTAAAAAAAGAAATGGAGCTGGAATAACAAATAAGACACAATTTAAAGAGTACATATAAAGCCGGACAAAGCATATCAAAAGTGAGCTACGCCACTAAGCAATTGATTTGAAATCTAGGAGCGCAATGCATTGTTTGTCACATTGTTCACATACTTTGTATAGTTTAGACTCACCATTTTCCATACATCGGTTCACTGGTCAAACGCAAAGCATTCAGTCGAGGTTGCAAGGATCAAATTTGAATAATCCTTTGAAAGTACCTTGGCGCATCGCTTGAGCGCTTTGTGTTTGACCAGTGAACCAATGTATGGAAAATGGTGAATATAGATTCAGATTTTACTTGCACTATTAAACACTTGCTAAAGCATGCATGAATAAAATCACGAACTGTCGTGTAGTCTCTTTGTTTATTGGTTAATCTGCTACTCTTACGACCATTTGAAAATTTCTAAGTATTTTATACGGTACCTATTTTAACTAAAAACAACGAAATATGGTATTTCTAAGTGAAAGATATTTGGTGAGTTTTTCCACGGATGATTTGATTTTGTTTATTTTCGAGTAAAAGCTCATCGGGCCGAAAACCTGAATTTCAAAGTGTTTCTAAGGTAGAAGTTGTGCATCTTTTACTTTACTAACGTTGGTATTTGTAATGATACCCTGAGTAACCTTGATAATGAGTCTAATCAAGGAACACAGTGGTGTACGAATGCGGGGAAAAAGGCCTATTTTGTAGCGCAGGGAATGCATGATTGGGGGAAAGATGATGAGCTTCCCTTCACTTTACTCCATTAGGAGAATACCTGGCTAATACACAACTTACAGCTAACACGGAGGTTACTGCACTTTCGATGCCTCTCTTGGCAGGTGCCTCAAGTGGTACCACCTGCTCTAATTCCTACTACGTAACACTACTACCGTCACTCCAAAACCAGTTTTACCAGTTAAACTACCATTATAGTGTTGACCTTTAAGGCCTAAGCAAGATTTTCCCCATGGTACCTCGGCTCTCAATAATGTCATGCGCCTTCTTGACCTCAGATAAAGAAAGAATAATTGAATCACTTAGTTTCACATCACCCTGAAGTAACCACTGGAAAACCTCTGAGCTGCGCATGCGCAGATCCTTGACAGATGAAATATACGAAACCAGTGAAGGGCGCGTGACGTAATGGGATGCTTTACCAAGGGTAGGAATGTCTACTTGGTCAGGAGTGCCAGATGATGACCCATAACTAACCATCATGCCTTTAGGAGCAAGGCATCCAAATCCTAGAGTTAGACACAAGAAAATGAAATGAATTCACAGTGTCTTAAATAAAGCACATCAGGAGAGCATAAATAAGAGAGGGAAACATCTTAATGACGTGTCCATTGGGCTATTTTTAGTAACCGGATGCAGTTTAAATTTCCCCTTACCCTACTCCTGTGCGTCATCAACTTGTGTGCGAGCACTCTTTCCGTTTATTGTTTTGATCCAGGTTTTGATCACTAATATAAGAACGAAACTGAAAGAGCGCATGTGTGCAAGTTGATGACTCAAGGGAGTGGGGTAAGGCAAAAATTAAACTGCATCCAGTCACTAAAAATAGCCCAACTGAAAATTTACATGGCAAGTGCACTATAAAGAAGTTTCCCTCTCTTATTTATGTTCTCTTGAGCACATTTAATAAGTGGATGGCAAATATTGGTATGATATTTTAAGCATATGTAAAAATTCTAATGGGTTTTAGAGATTTATCAACCAAGGCCAGATGGTAGTTCTACAGCCCAAACAGTTTTACAGCCCAAAGCAGCTGATTGAATTTTGTGCACCACACACAAAAGGCCTTGGAATTGGCATGAATGATTACCAGAGGGGTTTCTTTAAGTTTCATTACCATTGGTTTAGAACCAGAAAAGTAATATCACTGGTGCCGACTGCTGGGTATTTTGTGCCTGGCAATGCACAGAGCCCAGAAATTGAACCTGGGTCACATTGAGTGAGAGGCAGAGGATTTGCAGTGCATAGAATGTGTCCTAAATTAAATTACCACTAGCAGTATAACAACATCAACTTGAAGTGGATTTTTGCTAGTTTGATTCTAAAATGGTAATAGATACACTTGTCTGGGTCATGTTCTTATAAAAAATAAGCTACACAGAGATTCTGCAACTGCCGACATACCTTTACTGAATGTGTCTTTTCCAACACTATCATAAATGACATTGACTCCTTTACCATCTGTTATGCGCATAGTCTCTTCAACAAAGTCTTTCTGTGAGTACAGGATGACTTCATCTGCACCTGCAGCCTTGGCTTTGGCAGCCTTGGCTTCTGTACTACATGTACCAATGACATATGCTCCTATAACGAGAGCAGGGATATAAATAGGGATTCAACATTGTAATATTAGTACAATATTACAATATCTGCACCTACCTTCCACATAGAGGAGGGATTATAAATAGCTAAGGAGGGTCTGAGGAGGGTTTATTGCATAATTCTAGTACATACCATACCTTTCCCATAGAGGGGGATTGGAATTTCCAAAGGGTGAGGAGGGTCTGAGGAGGGTATATTACATAGTTCTAGAAAATATCCATCCCTCCATCCCTCCCCCATGGAGGGGGAGTGGAATATTCAAGCGAGTGGGCGGTGAGAGTCTAAGTCAAGGTATTTATAGTTACCAACTAATCCGTGAAACACTAATTACTAAATAGTACAAAATAGTGCTAATTAAACAATAGACAACAATGGAAATTGCATGAAATTGTGCTATTTAGTATAGCTAAAGTTTCACGGTTATATTGTTTGCACTCTATTATTATTATTATTATTTATAGAGAGAGAAATTTAGAGATGCTACTAGGGGTGGTAGACCTTAAGGCCGTACCTGCATGTTTAGCAACTTGACACAGAAATGAACCAGTGCCGCCAGCCACTGCATGAATCAAGACAGACACACCAGGTTTCAGATGTCGAACAGACTTGACCATATAATGTGCCGTCATGCCCTGCACCATAACACTGGCTGCCAAGTCAAGGGAAATACCTTCTGGTACAGGAACCACTCTGTTTGCTGGAATACAGCTGAATTGAGCATAAGAACCTAGAAATTGTTTAAAACATGGTTATCATTTTAGAACAATTGGGCCAATTGGAAACCTAGGCTGCACAGGGTTTGTAATTTGACTTTCATGTTATAATTATATCAGTAAACAACTAGATAGCCATTATCAATACTTGAATGGAAATTCTTCGATTGCAGTACGTTATGTCATTGTGGCATAAGATTTCTCATTAGCATCCATTTTTAACGGTACCACAATGGCCGCCATGTTTTTCTCTTTTGACTCTCTTGGGAATTCTTGCAACCCATCAATAAAGAGATATGTTGAAAGGCTATTGTTTTCTGCTGCTTTCTGATTGGCTCCCCTAGCTACCAATTGTTTTCATTCTACAACATGATTGTTTCCCCTTGTCTAGGCTGCTCTGGTTATAGTAGTGGTTGTATTGTCATGTACGGGAATAGTCAGGGGAATTTTATTCAAATTCAAATTTCAAGTAATCGGCTAGTAGTCGTACCCTACGATAGCATAAATTAAACTATAATAAATATTTATGTACACATGCTGATGATACATCATTTAAATATGACTAAATATGAGACCACCCAACCGCATTCGCTTTGTGGTCTAGGGGTTAGGCTTAGGGTTAGGGTTGGGGTTGGCATTGTAGTAGTTCTTTGGTGCCGAAGGTACCGAGTTCGATTCTTGGTCCCACTTGTGTGTTCGGAAACCTATGACGTACTTCGTTAATCCGTACACGACGATAGTACCATAGTAGTCACACTGTAAACCCATGTCTAAAATTTTCCAGTATGCCTGTAGGGCTTTAATCTTACCTGCACCAACATGAAAAAATGCAACTCTAGCACCAACATCCACTCCCTCGGTGTCTGGTCCTAGCTTTTCTACAATCCCTGCTGCCTCTACTCCTAGGATTTTCGGCAGATCTTTAGCATTTCCAGCCATTCTGTGGTAGACATCAAGAAAGTTCACACCACTTGCAAGGTTTTTAATGAGCACCTGAAATTCCATATTTGATATTTATAATATTTGATATTTATAATAACATTATTTAAGTTTTAAAGATTGGAACTTTCGACAATAAGATAATTATCACGGTGGCGCAGGGCCAAGTTACATGTTATGCATGATTAAGGCAAAAATAAGAGTGCGTAATATGTATTTTAAACAGAGGGTTTTCATGTGACGTCATGGCAGCCATGTTTGAGTGCAAAACAAAAGAACTTTTCTTCTTTGGAAATTCTCTTGAAACGCAAAAATATTGCATAATTTGTTGCTGGCCACACACATGGCTTCTGTGAAAAACCTCTGCTTTACAGCCTATAGAACGAGTCACAATAGATATAACGAAAGAGCAGAATAAAAGCTCCCTGTGGCGATAAATCAGCATGCCATTACCTCTCCCTTCCGTGGTTCTGGGATCGCTACATCTTCATAGCAAAACTTTGATGAGTCACCATATTCATGAATGACTGCTGCTTTCATAGACATGTTTGCTTTGTAAATATTCGATGGAAGAGAGGCAAGTCTACTGAGAGAAAAGAAGAAAGATGACCGAGGTTTGCACAATTTTATCATCTTCTGTAAAAACCTGGTAGGCGTTCCTGGAGGTACCGTTAGTTACCAGGGTCGTTCAGTTCTATTCACAGACTGAGACATGTAGACAGACAAAACGACAGACAGACAGTAATACGGATAGGATAGACAGCAGTACGGATAGGATAGACAGCAGTACGGATAGGATAGACAGCAGTACGGATAGGATAGACAGCAGTACGNTACGGATAGGATAGACAGCAGTACGGATAGGATAGACAGCAGTACGGATAGGATAGACAGCAGTACGGATAGGATAGACAGCAGTACGTTGGGAATGGAAATTAGCGCATTTTAAACTCTTGGAAATATAAATAAATAATTTTGTACAAAGATTACAATTAAATTTGCTGCACAGATTGATTTTAAAGATATGATGATGATATTCTAGTGATGTATATAGCTCCCTTTCTATATAGACATTCTTAGGATCAGTTTCGATTGCGCGCGTAACCTTTATCGCGAGGAGAGGTGTCCAAATCTACCGCTCATGCTCACTAGGCAGGTTTCGAGCGCGCGTTATTCACTACGTCAATCTTTCAAACACTGAAACTCCCAATAAGACATCAGACGTCATTCACGACACTTCGGCACTCTTTGAAATAGACCCCAGTAAACCACGTGAGCAGACTGCCGAAAATCACGTGACCTTTGGGCTATTAAAACTGCCGAAAAGGCCCGAAAATTTATTCTTATATTCTACTCTCCAAGTCGATCGAATATGGAAATAACAGAAGAGCAGTTGGCGACTCTAAATGCCTCCACTGTAGAGCAGCAATCAAATAATGTCGGTACGTAGCAATTAATATATTTACTTTACTTTGATTTCTTTTTTAATTTCATTCTACGAAAGAATTTATACCTTATTTTATGCCCCAACTTTGAATTGTGGGAGCCCAGAATTTTTTTCTGAAAGAGGTTGGATTGTTGTTTTAGAGCGTAAAATCTCTTGCCCAATTGAACCGCCCAAAAATTATTTTAGTGCCTCCCTACCTACCTGAAGTAAAATTCAATACTCATTAACTGAAAATGAAATAGCACACAATCGTTCAATTTTTAAAGAAAAAAATGGAAAGTGGGATATGAGTTAAGCTAGAGGACTACGCTAGCCAGCCTCTCTACGTTACCTTGTCTGTCAGTCATAATCTATTCATTTTACTGGCCAGTAGTTGGCCTGTTGCCTGTTCAGTTCTTGTTTTGCTGTTCTAAACAATCAAGCCTCAACATTCCTCAAGCCATGAATAAAAAACGAAAAAGCAACTAAAAATAAATTGACACGACGCGATTTTTATTTTTTTTTCGAGCTTTTGATATCAGATTAGCTTTCTGTAGTCATATGCGAATTCAGTTTTTAAAGTTTCGCGACGTTCTGGACAGATTTTACCAAGGCTTTGAGGGAAAATAAAGAAAAGAAGAAATATGCTGTGCACTGGTTACAGTGAAAGGGAAAACAATCTTCTCCATTATTTCTTATTAATAGCATTACGAGAACTCATTATTCCTTTGATTCATGTTTACTTTCATTATTCTAAATACCAGGAATGAAGAACTCTACCCCTGAGAAAATATGTAACGGCTGTAAAATGGAGATTGCCAGCAAGTTCGTGATGAAAGTAGGCGATTATTTCTGGCACCAGGAATGCATGGCTTGTAGCGACTGTGCCGAACATCTTGAGCAGAAATGTTTCTCAAGAGACGGGATGGTATTCTGTTCTAAAGATTTCTACAGGTGGGTAAGGCAGAACCAGAAAACTCACTTTAGTTTCAAGCGGGGGAAAAAAGACTCAAGTAAAACAAGATGGTGGAATTACTTTATGGAAGAACACGAATTAGCCGTCGAACGATAAGAATAAATTTGTACCAACATTAACATCAAAATTCATATACTTCTATCCTTTTTTTGTTTTTATTTTTGGCCCCTAATAACCAAGACCACCAACGAGTGATTCAAAATTGAATTCCTCAAAACGGTTGCCAGTGTCAGAAAAGTTGTCGAGATACTAAAATTCAACTATTCATTTGTTTCGCGAAAAAAGTAATTGCTATTTTTTCCATAAAAATTTATCGGAAATATTTTAGCACCGTCGAATTCGTTGCTCAATTCATTTACTGAAAATTAAGTAATCTCGCAAGAGTTTGATTTTTAATTAACTGTATTGCCTTTCGTGATGTTTGTTCTCAGGCGTTTTGGACCAAAATGCCCTGGCTGTAACGATATCATAAGTCCTACTCAAATCGTCCGTAAGATCAATAATCGAGTATACCACATCAGCTGTATGTGTTGCATGGCTTGCAACAAGCAACTTGCTACAGGAGACAAGTTTTACTTGCTGGAAGACGGCCGAGTTATTTGTAATGAGGATTATACAGAGAATGACCAAAGTAAGTATAAACTATACTGACTTGATATTCAAACCACGAAAAGAGAGAGTTTCTATGCACAACCCTAGGGAAAAAATCTTCAAATTTCACGAGGAAAGTAAAAATAAAGGAAAAGGAAAAAGGAAAAATAATTTACGAAATTCAGAAGATTATACAGGRAAGGACCAGAGTAAGTATACTTGACATTCAAACCATGGAAAGAGAGAGAGAGATTCTCTGCACAACCGTAGGAAAAAATTCTTCAAATTTCACGACGATAAATATGAAAAATATTTTACGAAATTCAGAAGATTATACAGGAAAGGACCAGAGTAAGTATACTTGACATTCAAACCATGGAAAGAGAAAGTTTCTTTCCACAACCATAGATAAAATCTCTTCGAATTTTGATAACGAGAAATGCAATCTTGTTTACAAAATTCCAAAATAAAATGAATGAAAAAAATCTCCTAAATGACAAATAAAAGGAAGATAAAATGATAGATAATGAGTTGAGAAATTTATTGTTGAACACTAAAAATAATTTAAGTTTATTTCTGTAAGTATGACTTGACAGTCTCGAGCCTTGGTATCGATAGAGCGGCAAACATTCGCGTTCGCCGAGTATCTTAAAACTAAATTTACTTAGGCCGAAAATTTTCTTCTTCCCAAGAAAAAATTAAAAAATACTTGAAATATTCAGTTTCAAATGTGTAAGTACTGAAAAAAGAGTTTTTGGGAGTTATTCAGCTAATTAAAAAGCAATTTCCTGAGAGTACAGAGCACGAGACATGTAATAGATCAATAGGTCCTCAGTATTTATAATCTTCAATCATTGATAGCTAGTTGTTTGTAGAAAACACGCTGAAACAAAGGTATATATAAGCCGATCATTGACCACTTGAAAACACTGAATAAGTTTTCAGTGCTTTTGAAGATAATTTTCACTCAAAGAGCAAAGTCCTAGAGTTTGGTATTTGCATTTGAAAGAAAATGGCCGACAACGGCGTCCTTGTTAGGGTCGATCCCGCACGCGCCACCTTGAACTAAAAACCAATGGTTCTAAAAAAAATAATGCTAACGCCTGATAATGAACATCTTAAACACCCATAGACGATAGACAGGCATTTTATGATAAAAAGACTAACGATTCTAGGAAATAACTACGGAAAACGATATTGAAAGATACGGGCGTTCCACTTTTTGGGGCGGGCGCGTCATTTGCCTACTCTCAAGATCGCCCTCTCTTATTATTTAAAATATTAAATAATTTTTGTAATTTTATAGCTGTTATTTACAATTTGGTGGATAATTTTTTTTCTAGTTGTTGCCAAAGACTCTTGTCATTGTTACTACGATGGCACGATTGCAATGATCATATATTTTTCAAACTGTTCCACTAAAAAATTTTTTTCCCCGTTTGTCGGTTTGCGAAGAGAGAAACAGAGAGAGCTGAAAACAATTAGCGAGGAGAGAAAAAAATTACAAAGATTGGCAAAGGAAAATATATAAAAGAGTGTTCCACGATGGCTCTCCTCTTTTCAAGATAATCTTTGAAAGGCCGAGGTCTTTGTTTGTTTGTTTGAGGTATTGCTTATTATTCCAATTAGAAAACGATCTTTTTGTTTAATTATTTTGAACCTCTTTGTTGAAAAGAAAAGAAACAACAAACATCGACTCCAAATTTATCAAGTGTTCATATAATTGCTGAAATTCACGTAGTTAAAATGAGTCAAATTTTTTTCGCATTGCACTATTTTTTAGTCTATTTTTTCCTAAATATTCCCACATAGATATTTCGAAGTCCTGGCCAATTTTGGAGTCTTGCAAGTTCCTGGAAATATTCTTCGAATTTTTAAACTGTGTGTCTCACTAGCTTTGCAGACACTTAAATAAAGATATATTTTTTTAGTTTTTATATTTAAGGTTGATCGTATTCAGTACATTCTTATATTTTGTCTGCTTTTGGCCAGATCTTTATAGCTTTATCCGATCTTACAGTATCTGAAAACAAAGCTCAGCCCTTCGACCTTCAAGTGCACTTGTCTCGAGAAACAAAAGTCGGTGTTGTCAAAACACAAATTTACAGTGAAAACTTTGAACGTGGCTACACCATAGTCACACAGGTGCACTGTATATGAAACAACTTAGAAAAGCAAACAATAAGAACCAAATTTAACACTAAATTTAAGTCCTATCGTACAGTGATAATATTTGGTTAAGTTTTCGTAGTCTAAGTGTCAGTCAGTGATTTTCAGTTGACGAGAACGCTGGCTAACACTGGTAGAGGATCCGTACTATGGAGTTCTGGTTGACAAGTATGGCAACCATTCTTTTCAGTTATTTTATGTTTTCTTTGTATTATTGATCAAGACGAGAGTAATTTAAGAGAAAAGGAGTAATCTTAATTAGGATAACGACACATGTTCACCCTTTAGTGTTTTTGTTACCCCGATGCATGTATAGAACAACAAACAATTAGACTCTTTTTGAACAACTATAAAGCGGTATTGAGCGAGATAGTCGTAATTATCCTTACATTACAACAAAATGGAAATTCCAGGAAAACTGTTGCATACTTGACAAGATGAACCTTGGTAAGCGGCTTTCAATAGTCAGAATAAGTGCTATTCAGTAGAACTGATTCAATTCAATTTTATCCTGTATTACTATTTTTAGAGAGGTCGACGCCAGCCCTAGTTTTTAAAAAGAATGGATAACCTTTATGTATTTCAATCAAAGACAGTAGAAAGGAAATAAGTATAGATACATTCAGCTCACATACCAGGAAATGACAAGTTACACCTTCGAATACACACTACAGGTGCTGCTGTCCAATCATCACAAATCTGCATGATGCACAGTACTATTTGGTTCATCCTTACACGTAATATTTTTTTAGTTTCAGATTCCAGCCAAGAAAGAACCAAGCGAGCCCGCACATTTATCAGCACAAGCCAGCTGTCGTCCCTCAAACTAGCCTACTGCGCAACCCCAAAACCAACTTTACACGAACGCGAGCGAATCGCCAAGGAAACTGGACTAGACATGCGCGTTGTCCAGGTCTGGTTTCAAAACCGGCGAGCGAAGGACAGAAGGATTATGAACAAGGGTCGGTTTCCATGGCTACAGACAGCAAACCGCAGGGCTAGGCATATGCGGTCACAGTCTTGGTCACCTGGGGTAATGCGTTTTTCTGGCATGACAGAGGAAGGGGAATTGGATGGTAAGGTCGTGTTCAGTTCGTACAAAACTCTTAGCAAATTTAACTAGCATTTCCTTCTAATATACCGCATGTCCTGCCGTTTTGTGGCGTCGCATGTTTGTCAGTCTATTCAATACCGACAAATTCTATAATCTTTCCACAGATTTGAACGATCTTCATCGTATAAAGGAGGAAGTGTCGGGCAATTCAATCAGTTCTCTCGTACAGAATAATAATAAGATTCTCATGAACGAATACCAGCCTGAGTCACCGGCAAGATTTACTGAAGAGCCTTTGGCTGCTCAAAGCAGTTCTCTGCCTTCCCAGATGGGGATTCCAGCAGACCCAAGGATGATGTCTGTGAATACACCGCGCATGGCTGGAGAAGGCCTAGGTGGTGGGGATGGCCTAAAGTTTGACTACACTATGAATATACAGAATAGAATTGAAGGGAACACTGTTAATAACAGGTAATCAATTAATTTTGATCTTTTAATCCCAAGTTTGGTCTAAATTTACGTCACATCTTATTTCCGGGGAAAATACGCGTCCCACATGGAGAGGAGTGACGATGCGTAGCAAACGATCAGCTGCAGAATTGACGAACCGGGTATGCTGGTCATATCAAGGGGTTAATCACATATGGTCTAGGGGCYGACTAACCTCTCCCTTAGGCTTCGGCTGAGCTTCCTGATCAGTCTGTAAATCCAGGGATAGCGGTGTCGGGGCCGAAATCTCCGGCGTAGCCGTAAATGCTTCGCGCTGCCATACGACACGCGATGTCTGGAAGTATGGGCCTAAATTATTAGTCAATGAAAAATAAAGATAACACTCAAAAAAGTCGTCTTCCCAGTGAATGGACGTTTATATTCATCGATTTTGGGAGGACGAGATGAATCTTAATTGCGCATGCGTGTCTTGTAATCTCAAAGGATTTTCAACTCGCGGTTAGATAACTCTACTATTCTATCTAAACAGGACCTTGTACAAAGATATACCAAATGGAACAACCTTCAACCAGAACCTACCATTTTGGCCTGACAATCTCGATCAAGAATTCAACTATCAAAATCTGGATGCGAGCAGTGTGCACGATAACATGACGTCACAATTCATGCAGCAGTCGCTGGACAACCGTATACAGCAGGCTCAAGGCATTCAGCAGATAGCAAGGAACTTTTGATTATTTTGATTTCAAAACTAAGATTTTAAATTGTGAATAATTTTTCTACACGCTTATTTATCACCATCACCATCAACACTATCATCATCATTACCACCATCATCATAGCCATTGTCAGTGGTGCGAATATATGAGCCTAGGTTCACTGTCCCCGCGGGTGCGAATATATAAGAAACTATTACCAATCACTTCTCTTTCGACCTGCTAAAGCTGAAATACTCTTATGAGTATTTTAGTGGTCTTGCTGTACTCCCCCTCTGCCTGCAGTTGCACCCTTTTTTCCCGTCCTCCCCTCCCTCGCGCTGCTGTGGTCCTTTGGAAAGTCCCCGAGGTCTGTTCCCATAACTTACATTCATATATGTGTATAGTAGGACCATTGGAAATGGTTTATCATGACGTATTTACATATACTAGACTTGCAGGAATAATACTCGTAAAGTGAAAAACATGTCCCTGAATATTACAAGATTTATTAATTAATAAATATTTTAAATTATTCAATCAATATCAATAAACATTTGTAACTATGGCAATAACTAGATTAATGACTAATAATTTAAATGTATATAAATAGTTGAGCCAATCATCACCATGACAACCAAATCACTGAAACACCGAACTGATGTCAATTTGAATAAGCCATATAAATATGTTATCATCACTATAGCAACTAATGAAACCATGACAACGAAATCGAATAACTTAGGCGACCTGTTACTATAGCGACGTTGAGCTTGTAACTACATTTGATGTATTTGAATAAATACAAGGAATTACCATGGGAACTGTATCACGTGGTAAAGTGCACCAATCAGGATTAAGTGTTGCTCTGATGTTGGGAATGCTGTTAGTCATTATTTTCATCTTGAGACTGAGACTAGGATCAATAATCTTTTAACGAGGTATATCGGAGGAAAATGTGACCTAAAATGAAATACGAATGCAAGAAAAGTAAATAGCACTATGCTATTATGCTAAGTATGGCCCGTTTATCGTCCATTCTGGTATTTTTCAGCATGCTTTGCCGAAAAGCTTAATTTCAGCTGCGTTATCAGTAAAGTTAATAACAGTAGAAACAACACTACAGCAACGAAAAATAAGAACCGCAAGAATAAACCAAACCAGCTGTGGCAGCAAAAACGACAAAAGGGCAATGAAAATGGTAGTTACTCCGACGAAATCAAGGGGGTAAAACCTCACTAAAATATCATAAAAAATAAAATCTATGGTATAAGAAAAAAGTATTGATGATGTCGAAAGTCTACTGGTTAGAGTTTGAAATAGATAAGATAAGATGGTGGAAAATGAATGTAAAAATCCCCAAAATAAATAGAAATTCATCAAGTAAGTGTTAAAAATGAAACGAAAGATGAATCTAAAACTATTTGATCGGTGTTGTGTGTGGAGTGAGTGAGTCAGTGAAGTTCACTCGGCAGTGGGTAGTACGTCTTCCTGGGGAAGGTCGATAGCTAGCGCCTGAACGATCCACGGATCACATTTTGATCCTTCTCGAAACTCTTCCATTGTCAAGCGGCCATCGTTGTTCTGCAGAACAATTTTTGTTGTTGTATTAGTTATTTTGAGGTTGAGGGAAAAAATTGGGTCGAGTTGGGATTGCATTGCATTGTGGGGCTGTCCTAGGCGACATATTTCCAAGATGGCGGCTTTTCCTCTCCTAAAACAGCCCCACAATGCAATGCAATGCCAACTCGACTCAGTTTTTTCCTCAACCTCGTAAAGGCTAATAAGGGAGCGTAGAGGAAAATATTGTGCTTGAGAGACAAAAGTGAAGCAAATTATATGTTCATGTTATATATTATCATTATATATCAATTCAAGGAGTGCCAAATAAAGATATTTGTTTGTTTGTTCAATTCTTTGTTCATTCATTTATTCACTCGTTTGTTTGATACTTACTTGATCCATCTGTTTAAATATTTTGTCTACTCTCTTTTCTGGTGTGTCTTCGTCTTGTGGAAGGTCGATGATGTTACCCTATAGATTCAAATAATGAACTCAATAACTATACAATCGCTGCGGATTCCATTGCGCTGATTGGCTCACTCCATCATATTGAAGAAGCGATGATTGCCTATTCCGTGGCGCTGTTTGGCTGCAAGTGCAACCGGGTTTCTCCTTCCTTCTAACTCCATCCCCACCCTATCCCACCCCGGTGCCGGCACGCCACCATTTGCGCATTTGAGGAGAAAACACTTTCAAAGGTCGTGTAACAGTCACTTGCTTACCACCATACTGTAAATAGCCTTGACAATGCTCAACATCTCATCTCTTGTTATATAACCGTCTCTATCCAGGTCATACAGGGAAAACGCCCCTAAAAAATGCAAACGTTGAACAGCATGAAATATAAATTAAAAAGGAAAAAACTAAAACCCCTTTGTGTTAGTTTGTTGGTCCTCTTCTTTGTTTCAAGGGATTTTATCGGAGTTCTTCGCTTTTTCTCCCTCCGCAAATCTTAATACTCAAAATTCTTGTTTTAAGGTTGGCGTCAGCCCAGAGGTTGTTACAGGGTTTGATTTATAACACTGATGGTTCAAATTAAAGAATATACATACATTCAAGTTTTTCATCCAAACTTCCTCTTGAAGTAATAGACAAGGCTGTGATGAACTCCTTGAAACTGATATGACCATCCTATAATGAAATACTGTAGTTAGAGACTCGGCGCCAACACCGGTCATAATTATAAAATAACTCTTAAAAATCTCACGTTCTGATTGGTTGGGAGCGAGTGCTCCAAGAGAGCACACAACACGCGGGCACTTTCAGTTGCGTCATTCCCATTTGAAAATAACGGCTATTGTAATTTGTATTTTATAAAAGAAATAAAAAACTTGCTTGATATGTTACGCGTCATGCTTCTCCTAACACTTCTCTCGTGTTCGGCTAAACCCCGCGCGCTTTATAACTGCACACAGCGCGCTCGTTTTTTATTTCTTCGATAATGCTCCTACACTTACATTATTTACATACATTTTTAACTTGTTAAGCAACATGTAACAAAACCCTCCCCAAATGTTTTAAAATAGACCCCTTGTAAGTGACGTCAATGCAGCTCAATTTGGAGGACAAAAAAAAAAAAAAAGAATTTCAATCTCTTGAGAATTGGAAACCTATTGTTATGTCCTCCAAATTGAGCTGTGTTTCGACGGATTGCAAGGTGTCTACTGCTGTATCTCTGGAACATGTTAAAAGTTAGGTGCTGTTATAAACATCTAATTTTCCACGTTTAAACTAATAATTTCACCTTCAAAGCATTGTGTTTCATACGTATACTTACTGAATTTCGATCAAATACTTTGAAGACAAAGGCTGCAAATTTGCTGGGATCCCCAAATGGGAAAAACTGTTGATAAATTCTTTGAAATTCCTGGGAAATAGTAAAATAGTGTTATATTAGAAACTAAGATAGCTATAATGAAAGAGAATAACATTTGGGTAGGGCTGTTTTGGAGAGATGGAGGGGATGGAGGAGATGGAGGGGATGGAGGAGATGGAGGGGATGGGGGGTATGGAGAGGATGGAAGGGGAAAGAAAGAAAAATTACATGTGGGACAAAAGAAATGGTAAGGGAAAGTGAAAATGAAATAGAAGATGAGAAACCATGATATTTCAGACTGATAATATTAACCTTAGACAGACAGATAGACAGACAGACACACAGACAGATACACAGACAGACTTTTTTATTACGTATCAATTTTTAGAATATACATGGACATTTTACCCGAATAAACATATGAAGGCTATAATTATTGATTTGTAGTAATTTCTATTATGTTATAATAGATTCGCCTATTTAACACTATTTGGTATAGTTACTATTTAGTGCCTAGTTTGGGTAAGAAGACCAGTTTCTATATTAATTCTGTATTGTATGTGATCTTTTTATAAAGCAGTTGTGGACATATTTTGCTACTGCAACTGCTAACATTTTGGGCAGACTCATAAATAGCAGAAACAAGTCGTTCTCCTTTAACAAAAGAGAATCATTGTTTATGTTTTTATGTCATATTTCAGTTAGAAAGTTAGTGGGGGGGGGGGGGGGGGTGAAAATGTCAAAGAAGATAAAAAGCAGGGTAAGGAGGTGGGGAGGTTTTGACGATGGTACCAGCTTTATAGTAGTGGTGACAGCCGATGCAGGACAATAACTTTAAGAGGATATAAAAATAAAGAATAATTTCTTTGGATTTTGTACATGTATTTTGTTTAGAATTTTATTTTTACTTGAAAAAACGATTTTATTTTCAGTTGTTATCTAAAGAGGATTATCTCAGCTCTAAGAATGCTCTCTGTGAGAGTACTACATTATTTGTTATTAGAACTCCAACTAAGCCCTTAAGCCAGCCCTGGGGATCAATTAGTCATAGCAATGAAACCCTATTTTGTTCAAAAACAACTTCACTCCATCCTCTTTTCCACTAAGCTCATAAGATGACCTAATAAAAGCTTGGAATACAACCCTGCTTCTCAGATGTAATTTGTGATAGGATAATGTATGACGGAAGAGGAATAAAGTCAAAATAAGTGGCTGGTTTTATTCATAGTTGACACATAGCTGAATATCCCTGACAACCAAAATATTTCTATTATCAATATTAATTTATTTCTGTCAGGAGATTAGATATGCTAGACAATACAAATACACAAGTTTTAGCAAGTTTCACTGTAGTATCAGAATAATAATAAATTAAGTCTAATCTAAGTTTTATCTCCAGCTTCAAAAGCATGCATGTACATACATGTTACCATAATAAATAATTTGGCTTTAATAAGCACAATAGTAATTATAATTCAATTCCTAATACATCTAACTTTTAAAACATGGAACAAATACAATGTTACTGACAATATATAGTTTTATGGACCAATTTATCACTTAACGACTTATTTGATATGTCAACTATTTTACATTTTTAGCTGCCATATTTAAAAAATTTTCACTTTACATTGCCTAGTTGCCATTTTATATGAGAATATGGAAAACAAATTCAAAGAAGTTTAGTAATAAGGGTTCACAGTTGTTTTAATGACAAGCTGATTAAGAAAGACGGTGTATAAACAAAGCCTGTTTTAATGAGAAAGAGTGTGAAAGAAGCTGTCCATTATAGTCTAGTATCAATAACCAAAGTAAACAATAAAAAGTCTTGACTCAACTCTTCCAAATATTGTGAAGAATAAGCATTGTCAGAAAAAAGACAACTCCCTCGTATAAATTAAAACAGAATTTGAAACAGATTTGAAAATGAAAATGACTTTATGAAAAAAATAATTGGAGCATGTTTTTATACATTCATAGAGTAGCCAATGACAGAAATGGATTTTCAGATACTAGAGACTGGTATATAATTGCAGTATTGTGTGGTTGTCAAAGATCAAACAAGCATTTTATAATTAAGAAAACCTAAATAATGACAGAAATATTTGAAATCAATTTTAACAGTACTTATTTCAAGAGCATGAGACTGAGTATTACTAAGGTAGATCTATGTAATATTATAATATAAACATTATGTATGAAGTATTTGAAATATAACATGCATGCTGTTTGGCAGGATAAAAATATATTGGAGATATTAAAGTGTGTGCCGATTGGCTGGCTATTTAAGTTTTACAATATTTTAAATTGTATATACATATATTATACACTGAGTAATATCAGAGGACAGAGACACATGCTGGCACAATATCATTCAAAACTATTTTATAAAAGCAATATAATATTGCTGCTTTTGTCTCTGTACTGTGATACAAACAACCACACTGGGATCTGTAACAATCAAGAAGCAAGAGAAAACACTTGGCTATGCCTCATGTTTCTGTTTGAGCCTGCTTCTCTCATTTTACAGTTCCTAGAATGCACAGTCATTTTATACCCCTTAAATATAATAATATCATTTTGAGCAGTTGGTGTCCCCGATTAGTATGCTCACTTGTGACAAGCTAGTAGAATGACACATTAATAAAGCGATTGATTGATTGAGCCTGCTTCTCTCATTCTACAGCTCCTAGAATGCACAGTCATTTTATACCCCTTAAATATAATAATATCATTTTGAGCAGTTGGTGTCCCCAATTAGTATGCTCACTTGTGGCGAGCTAGTAGAACGACACATTAATAAAGCGATTGATTGATTGATTGAGTTAACATTAAACCAGAAATTGGTAATGACTGAGGTAAAACTGACCACCCGCTATTTTAAGCCCTGTATATTATATACAAGGCAGGACTAATAATTTATAACTTGTCTCTGATATTGCACAATCTAAAGGGCTCAAAGAAAGCCAAGCCAAACAAATGATGAATTACAATTTCGCAGTGAGAACTATTTCCCAGAGGATTTCAGCTGGAACAACTTACAAAAAATTCCAGAAAGGAATGTTCACAAATTTATGGCAACATACTAAAATTAGTTAAATATAATGAGCTGTAATTAAATATGGAAGTGCAATTAGTATGCAAATTGCAAGTTATACCACAGATCAAGTTGACAAGGATTAAGAAGATAAGATTAAGTCCCTCACTTGGAAAAACAAAAACTATAAACCAAAGATGCCAAATAAATGTAGCCTCGGATATAATAAATAACAATATTAGATAAATCCTAAAGAAATTACTCATAGAATAAATAAATTGATTCAGAAAACCCTGGATTGATTTAAATTCACAGTAAGTTGTACTACATGTATTCTTTTGGGGAAAAAATAAATTGAGATTGAAGTTTTGAGTTGGGCTTGTTTTTTTTGAAACCACACAATATTGGAGTAAAAGTTCTGCAAGACAACGGGCACATTTTGTATTTTAGAAATATTAATCTGAATCAACTATTTATCACTAACTAGTACAGAAATAAAATAAACACTTTGCTCAGTATATGCTTCTCATGATTATAATGATTTGCAGAACTTTTTTTGCTGGTGTATGGTGATGGATCTCGGCAGAACGAAATGCATTAATAATGATTTGGGCTTGATGCATGTTATGGGTTGTCAAGGATGTTATATTACAAATTACAGGGGTACATACTGATTACTTTGTTGTGAAGTGCGATCGTCATGATTACTGATCGATACTGATTACTATAATTGAAAGGGACTAGGAACAATGAAAATTAAAGATGTTAAAGAGAATAGAAGAAAAGAGAGAAGGAGGTGATAATGTAAAGGGGAAATATTCTAGAAGGAATTCATTTTTAAGAGTGAATGAATGAAAAATTATTACAAGTATGGGATGTATACTGTACCAGAAAATTATGAGTTTCTGACTACAAGTACAAATGGAGCCTTCTGAATTTATCATAAAAAAAGAAACCAAAAATAGATTCTAGTGTGGGCATGCTCTCATTATATTCAAAAAAATCAAAACAACTTCAAAACCTTACATTAGTGGGTGGTTCACTAAACATTGTTTTCAAAATACAGAGTGAAAAAAAAAAAAAAAAAAGAGGAAAAAGAAAAAAATAAATCGAAATGTTATTTCCCCCAGGAACGAAAGAATTATAACTGTGACCACATATCAAAGTAATAGTAGTAATAGATATCGGTAGTTTCTGATAAGAGACAGTCAACCAATACTTTTGATTGGCATATAGTGCGTACATTGATAAGCTAGTAGCTATAAATAGCTACACTCTATATTACTTGAGCAAAACATCTCATTTATCAAAACCATGAAATTGATCTCAACAAACTAATATTACAAAACATGTCCAAAATAAAAATGAGTAGAGTTTTTAAAAAATCCGCTTTGAATTTCCTCTCCCCGACCCCCCCAACCAAAAAAAGTTCCTGTCTTAAAAAATTAAATTCCCCCAAAAAACCTGAAATATTTTCAAATATTTTAGTATGAAATAAGATATTGCGTAGAGTAAAAATTTAAATTATTCATTATTTATGATACGAGTAGTTTATAGAAATAATGAAGGGAAAATTAAAAGGATGAGCGATTTAGAAAATTGTGTAAGAAGTGTGATTCAAAACATCTGGTCATAGCTCTTTTGAAGAACAAATTTTCATTCATCGAACTACTTTAAAAAATCTACTATTTCTCTTATTCTGAGAGTAAAAACATTTCATTTGCCTTTGAAATAAAGGAATCATTGTTTTTGAGTTCAAACTCCAACGTAAAGAATTCAGATTTTCCCCCCAAAAAAATTATACAAATATTCTGATGAACTTCCTTGATATATTGGTTTTGTACGGGTTTATCTGAAAGTACGTAGTTCTTACCTCTTGTTTTAGCTGCCCTGAAGGGCAGTCTTTCATAAAATCTTTATACCTAAAGACAATAAACGAAGCTATTAATGGAAAGGCTTTTTAGTTTTGTTTGCAGAAGAGAGTAAATCTAGCTCACTAAGTTTATTATTCACTTTATTCATTAGGAAATTCAAGGCCGAAAATATCCCGATATCTCTTTTGAAAACCACAAAGTAGCTCTCTAATACACGACCAAGACATGTGGTGTATCGATAAAACACTCACCATTTATGAAGTTCCTTTTTATCGACTGAAAAGCAGAGAAAAAATTAATGCTTTTGAGCAATTTTCAAGAGTAAAAAAGTTCCACGCGGCAATTCAGTTAGAACAAATGACAGCTTATTTAAAACCTTTAAATTCTAATAAACTTACAATATGTGCACTGTAGAAGCTCTTGTGTCTCCTCAGGTGAGAGTTTGCAGCCTTTTTGACCCATGTCGTAGTGTTTAAGGATTTATTTTTCTCATTTTAGAGACGTAAACTCGACCTTGTTGTCGTCTCCGCCATCTTACGAGGACACCCACAATGCAAAGCTACTCACGCAACAACATTACATTCTATAACTAGATAGGGAGGGGAGGGTAAGTCGTTATGTTTTTAAATCGAGATTACAGGTGATTTTGGACGTAAACTTAATTTTCAAATCAAGATTAGCTATCCATAACAACACAAATTATGCAATCAAGATAATACGATAACACGTCTAGCGTCATTAATTTTATTTTTGACTTGTAGTTTCGATTTTTGATTTTAAAATCTTGTGACTCAACGCAAGTTTAAACTTGATAAAACATTTCAGTTTTTGAAAATTTGATCTCAAACTCGTAAATCAATAACCACATCAAAGTAATTCAAGGAACGAAATAGTGAAGAGTTCTCGCTACTAAAGATTCAACAAAAACAAAAGCTAATCAAAAACAAAAACGACTGATAGCGGACATGGCGAAAAATTGCGCAGAGTCAGCGCATGCGCACAAAATTGAAGCTATTTTTGTGAAAATTGGCACAAATATTCAAGATGATTACAATTCAAAAGTAGGAAGGAAATTAGCTAGACCTGCTTATGTTTCTTTTTCTGTTTAAGGTGTTTATAGTACGCGCAGTCTCTACTTCATTGAAATCGATACGCCTCATAATTCCACATATTATTACATAATCAAACAGTTATTGAGTTCGGTTTTGAAGACTTCCTATGAAGTGTGCGCAAACTAACGACAGCTCGGCACGCAATTACTCAATTCCATTACAACCAAAAGCACGTTTAAATGGGCTAATATCCGCCAACACAATTTTCGCGTTTAGTTATTGAGTTCGGTTTGAAAGACTTTCTAAAGAGCGTGAAAACTAACGACAGCTCGGCACGCAATTACTCAATTTCATTACAACCCAGATTACCACCCAAAACTAATTTAAATGGGAATTATATCCGCACAACACAGCGCGCGTATATTTTGGTTATATTTTTGTTTCGTTTTGTTTTGATTGCGGACCGCAATATCACGGAATAAGTCTTTCAAATTTGTGCTTTAATCACAATTTACCGTAGAACAATATGCGGTTTTGTACCTAGTAATTTCATCTTTCAGTGATATTGTATTGAAGGTGTTTTTCTCAGACCGAACGGCGTCGGTTAAGGTTTTTTATTGCGTATGTGGTTGGGGTTTAAGTGGCTTGTTATGTTATGATATAGGCAACCCTATTATATGTGGGGTATATGTATGAACGAAGAAATACGTGGATATTAGAAGAAAACCCACATGCTTAAAAGAGGAACGATGACCGCTGTTGGATAAAGGGAGTTCAGTTCAATTTTATTAGTTAGTTGGCTGATTTTTTCAATCGATGTTGCATTTTCCCTTCTTTCTTTCTTTCTTTCTTACTTTCTTTCATTCATTCTTTCTTTCTTAGTTACTTTCTTTTTCTTATCTAACCCCTTCAGTCATTGCAGCCTTAGTGACTTTCGTTTCCTTTCATACTTTCAACCATCTTCCCTTTCTTTCCTCCTTCCTTCTAGTTCTTATTTCTTTTCTCGTTTTCCTCGATAGTCAATATTGCGGACCATAAACTATAAAACTGTCATTATCATCTAAGTTCTTCGGTTCTTATCTTAACTTTATCTAAAAATTGGCTTTCTCTCTTATTTGATTCTAAGTACTTCTTGTTTTTGTTTTTTTCAGCAAGTCGGAAATGTTCGGATATTAGCCCGATAACAAAAAACGTTATCAAAATTAAATAATTAACGAGTGTAATCATGAATTAATGCCTCTTAGCTTATTAGAAGTATTTAAGGTTGAGGGAGGACAGCTCCGAGCTTAATTTTAAATATACAAAATGATTAAAAGAAAAAAGAAAAACGAGAATGAAATGGAAACTAAATAGGAAAATGAAATAAAAAGATATATGGTGAAATAAATAATATCACTCTATCGCGTGATGTGGAGCCCAGTTTGTTATCTAAATTACTATGACATTCGGTACCGGAAAAACTACGATAAAATAAGAGGGAAATTAGGGAAAAAATAGGGAGGAAAATACGGAGGAAAATAGGAGGAAAATAGTGAGAAAAATAGGGAGGAAATAGGGAGAAAATAGGGAGAAAATAGGGAGAATAATAAGGAGGTAAAATAGGAGGAAAATAGGGAGGAAAATAGGGAGAAAATAGGGAGAAAAATAGGGAGGTACAATAGGAGGAAAATAGGGAGAAAAATAGGGAGAAAATAGGGAGAAAATAGGGAGAAAAATAGGGAGAAAATAGGGAGAAAATAGGGAGAAAATAGGGAGGTAAAATAGGAGGAAATAGGAAGGAAAATAGGGAGAAAGGGATATTATTCATATAATTGGAGTAACTTTAAAACGGAAAATAAATACTTCAATGATAAAAAATAAAAAAATAAAAATAAAAACGAAAAAATAAATAAAATGGAAAACAGGTAATTTTGACGATTTGATACTACAATTTCTTTATATTTTTATGATACACTTGTCTGTCACATTTTGATGAAATTTTATTTTATATAATAATAAAAAAATGGTGCTTGGAAGGCATATCAATAATTGCAGCCAAAACTAGATATGAAAATTTCACAGATGCATAGTGATAACATGTTATGTGAAAACGACATCTGGACGGGGGATAATCCATATGCGAATTAAAAGAATAAAAACAAAAATACTAGCTTCCGTTTTCTCCTCCACAATAATATTAGTGAAGTTTACTAGTACACTTGTTCGATCAGTCGTTCTCGTTCCCAGACCCTACTCATTAGCCAGCGATTTGACTAAAGAGTAGGGTCTGGGAACGAGAATTACTGGTTAGATAAATATGCTATAAAATGCATATATAAAATATTGAATAATATATTAATAATACATTAATAGTAAATTAAGTTTTACTCTATAATCTTAAAAACCCACATTGTCATAGCTCATCCCGTTGATGTCGAGGTAACTGTGATAGATTCCGTCGAACTTGATTGACAGCTGTCATTAGCAGGCGTTTAAACTCTGTGACATCGAATTCATAGTTTCTAAATTTTGGGTGTTCGGGGTACCTGGGATGAAGCTCCTGTATAAAAAGATAAAGGATTGAATGGATGGATGGATGGAGGAATAGAGGGATGGAGGGATGGAGGTATGGAGGAATGGAGGGATGAATGAATGGATGGACGGGTGGGTGGATGGATGCATGGATGGATGGATGGATGAATGAATAACTGAAAGGATGGATATCAAATAGCTCAGAATATTATAACCCGACACAATACTGAGTGATGATACCCGAATTCTTCTCAAAAACCCACTCAAAACTCTCCAAAATCCAAACCATTTACAGATAATTGTCTTTTGAACAAGACTCCTGGGTCCTTTCAAATACCCATTCAAAGCATTAGCGGTACGAATCAAAGTCTAGTATCATTCCAATGATTGGCCTTGAAAGCTAATAATACGAGATTAAGAAGATTAACTCCAATGAAATCGAATCCAATATATCGTTCTCTATCTCGCAAAGGAAAGAGAAACAACTTCCTCGTGGTTAATTCTTTTTTCTACGCAAACAGTTTTAAGGTTCTATTAGTGAGTCAGCCGTGACCTAACTTAGGCTCAGGTCAAATGTCGAACTTCACATGAGCCGAACCTAATTGAAACAATAGATAACAAGGCGGTCTTCTTTGATGTCATTAGGTTCGGCTCATGTGAAGTTCGACGTTTGAACTTAGCTCAGAGGTTGTTTTCAGGGTTTGATCTGTGAATTGGCTGTGCACTGATTTAGAACAGCTCCTAGGTTGCTCTGAAGATAAGTCTGAAAATGAGGTTTAAATAAACAAAAGAGTTGATTTTTTTWATTTACCCGTTAGCCTCAGTTCGCATTCACGCCAAACTGTAAGCCGATTTTTATGCGAACTAAATATGCCTTTTTCGGGCCCAGATACTTTATATTAAAGACGTTATATAATAGGATTTTTACCTCTGTTTTCTCGACTACTTTATCTTTTTTCTCCCACGTCAGATAGCTTAGTCCCCTATGAAATGTAAGACAAAACGGTTTTTGAGTTAAAAACAAGACATAAAGCACGTACGCACGAAAAGATGTGTAATGTTACAGTGTAATTCTTCTGATTATTCTTAGGTGTCTACTAAATATGGTTACAATACAATACAATACAATTTATTTGACACCTTATACTTAAAAGTACATGGGTGTTTGGTTCCAAATATATTATAGGTATATATATATATATACACTATGTATTAGGTATTTCTCTTATTTCGTTTTCACGTATCAGCATACATTGATGAATGTATGCTGATATAGCTTTTTGTAGAGACGCCGATTTTGAATTGATTAAGAACAGAGAACGACTGTCAGCGCTCATATTGTTGAAATT